TTATTTAAAAATTTGACCCTTTGTGGGGGAGGTATTAGAAGTAGTGGTCCGATATATCGTCTATCCGCCCTAGATCTTGTCTTGGTAGAAATATTGGGATGTGTGAAGTTTGAAAAGAATCGGATGCTTATTTTACATTTTATGAGCGTTCGGGTTATTCAACATTTTGACCCCTTTGTGTGGTAGGTACCAGAAGGAGTGGTCCGCTACATCCCATCTCCTAGGTCTTATGTTGGTAGAAACATTTGGATGTGGGAAGTTTGAAAAGAATCGGATACTTATTTCGGATTTTTTGAACGTCTTGGTTATTCAAAACATTGACCCATTCGTAGGGGAGGTACAAGAAGGAGTGGTCCGCTACATCCCATCTTCACACCAGATCTTGTAAAGGTAGAAATATGGGAGTAGCTGAAGTTTGAAAAGAATCGGAGACTTATTTTGGATTTTATGAGCGCTTTGGTTATTACAAATTTTGACCCCTATGTGGGGAAGGTACCAGAAGGAGTGGTCCGCTTTATTCCATCTTCACACGAGATCTTGTGTTGGTAGAAATATTTAAAAGTGTGAAGTTTGAAAAGAATCGGATGCTTATTTCGGATTTTTTGAACGTTTTGGTTATACAAAATTTTGACCTATTTGTGGGGGAGGTACCCGAAGAAGTGGTTCGCTTTATTCCATCTTCACACCAGATCTTGTGTTGGTAAAAATATTGGATTGTGTGAAGTTTGAAAAGAATCGGAGGCTTATTTCGGATTTTATGGGCGCTTTGGTTATCCACAATTTTAACCCATTCGTGGGGGAGATACAAGAAGGAGTGGTCCGCTACATCCCATCTTCACATCAAATCTTGTGTTGGTAGAAATATTTGAAAGTGTGAAGTTTGAAAAGAATCGGATGCTTATTTCGGATTTTATTGGGGCTTTGGTTATCCACAATTTTGACCCATTCGTGGGGGAGGTACAAGAAGGAGTGGTCCTCTATATTCCATCTTAACATCACACCTTGTGTTGCTAGAAATATTTGAAAGTGTGAAGTTTGAAAAGAATCGGAGGCTTGTTTCGGATTTTATGGGCGCTTTGGTTATCCACAATTTTGACCCATTCGTGGGGGAGGTAGAAGTAGGAGTGGTCCGCCACATCCCATCTTTACATCAGATCTTGTGTTGGTATAAATATTGGGATGTGTGAGGTTTGAATGGAATCGGATGATTGCTACAGATTTTATGGGCATTTGGGTTATTCAACATGTTGACACTTTTCTGGGGGAGGTACCAGAAGTAGTGGTCCGCTACATCCCATCTTCACACCAGATCTTATGTTGGTAGAAACATTTGGATGTGGGAAGTTTCAAAAGAATCGGATACTTATGTCCATTGTTATGAGCTTTTTGCATATTCGAAATTTTGACCCCTATGTGAGGGAGGTACCAGAAGGAGTGGTTCGCTTTATTCCATCTTCACACCAGATCTTGTAAAGGTAGAAATATAGGAGTAGCTGAAGTTTGAAAAGAATCGGAGGCTTATTTCGAATTTTATGGGCGCTTTGGTTATCCACAATTTTGACCAATTCGTGGGGGAGGTAGAAGAAGGAGTGGTCCGCTACATCCCATCTTTAGACCAGATCTTGTGTTGGTAATAATATTGGAATGTTTAAAGTTTGAACAGAATCAGATGCTTATTTCGCGTTTAATGGGTGTTTTGCGTATTCAAAATTTTGACCCATTTATGGGGGAGGTATGACAAGAAATGGTCCCATATATATCATCTTCACGCCAGATCTTGTGTTGGTAGACATATTTTGATGTATGAAGTTTGAATAGAATCGAATGCTTATTTCGGATTTTTATGAACGCATTGGTTATTCAAAAATTTAGACCCTTTATGTGGGGGAGGTATCCAAAGGACTGGACCGATGTTGACCATTCTCGCGCCTGACCTTTCACTGGTGGAAATATAAGTATTTGCAAAGTGTAGACGAAATTAAATGATTCTTTCTCATTTTGACAATTTGAGTGGGAGGCACCAGAAGGAGTGAACCGGTATTGCCCATAACCGAACTCGATCAAAATTTCATAGTAGTATTTCCATGTACCAAGTTTAGACGAAATCGGATACTCCCTTCGAGCGTTAGTGTGCGATCAAATTGGGTAAATCTTTCGTTTTTCTAAGGTAAATTATTTCCATTGGAAATTTTGACCTTTTGTCTTGGAGGTACCAGAAGGAATGGACCGGTGTTGTCCATTTCCGAATTCGATTCAAGTTTGGTAATAATATTTCCAAGTATGGAATATGGATAATCATTTCGAGGGTTAGCATTCGCAGCAACCAGACAGGCACACAAACAAAAGGACGGCCACCCCTATTTCGACTCATAACGGATTTCGTTCAAAAATAAGTTCTAAGCCCGTTATTTTTGATGATGCACATTTTATCCGCATCAAATGATCACGCGGAGGAATTTTTTGGAACTGTAATTATAAAAAAATTAGCTTTGTGGCACAGTGTAATTCAAGTCCCCTATTTTCAAGTCATCGATGTCGCATCAAAAAAAACTCTTACAATCTCTTTAAAGGCCCCTTATAGTTTGGATACGGAATGTATGTTCTATGGCCTAAAATATTTGACATTAATTGTTAAAGATTGGTCCGAAAACCTCAGATTTTGGATATAAAAAAACTATTTTAGGGTCTTAAATTAAGGTCTCATATCTCTTTCTAAATTTCTGAAATCTAACTTTTAGGCCTTACTACATTTTCACGTTTAGACCGAAATTATGAATGTGAAAAATTTGGTTTCAAACCCCTCAAATTCGGAATATATGTGTTCTATGGCCTCAAATATTTGACATTAAATCTTCACCTTAAACCCGGAATCATGAATGTTAAAGATTGGCTCAAAAACTTCAGAGTGTGGATATAATAAACCTATTCTAGGGCCTGAAATTAAGACCCTTTAAGGCCTATTTCTAAATTTCTGAAATCTAATTTTTATACCCTGAACCTTGGAAAGGAGGGTATATTAACTTTGTCATTCCGTTTGTAACATCCCTAAATATTCGTCGTAGTCCCCATAATCAGCATGAAATTCTAATTTGATTTAACGATGTCCGTCTGTCTGTTGAAATCACGATACAGCCCTCATTATTCAACGTAGAGCTTTAAAATTTAGCAGAACAATTTGTATTGTGTCTACGATGGTTGGTATTGAAAATGAGATATGTCGGTCCACGTTTCGTTAGAGTCCCTATAAAACGGTACCTCCCGATATTCGGTATTTTGATGATTTTTGCAATATTTTTCACAGATTTTTTCTGAAAATTGGTATTTGTGGTTCGTAATGGGTTCTAGCTCCGGAGAAGGAACATTTCATGTATAGTTGCATGCTTTTGTATAGCCCCATATAACGGTACCTCACTATATTCGGTATTTTGATGGTTTTTGCCACATTTTTTCACAGATTTGTCGGAAAATTGGTATTTGCAGGTCATAATGGGTCCCATTTCGTGTGCCGAAACATTGTATTTATAGATCCAGGCTTTGATATAGCCCCCTTATAATGGTACCTCCCGATATTCTGTATTTGGATGATTTTTGCCTCATCTTTCACAGATTTGTCGGAAAATTTGTGTTTGTGGGTCATAATGTATAGGTCCAGGCTTTGGTATAGCCCCCCTTATAATGGTACCTCCCGATATTCGGTATTTTGATGATTTTTTGCCACATTTTTTTTACGGATTTGTCTAAAAATTGGTATTAGTTGGTCATAATGGGTTCTAGCTCCGGTGGCGAAACATTGTATGTATAGGTCGATGTTTTGGTATAGCCCCATGTAGCGGTACCTCCCGTTATTCGGTATTTGGATGATTTTCGCAACATTTTTTCACGAATGTGTCTAAAAATTGGTATTTGTGGGCCATAATGGGTACTAATGTTTCCTTATTAAAAGTTCGGCCAGGCCGAACTTAATGTTTCTTTTCCTTGTTAGGCCTTACTACATTTTCCCCTTAAGAAATCATGAATGCCAAAAAAAAAAAATAAATCCCCCAAATTATGGATATGAAAAACATATTTTCAAGACCTAATATAGACGTCTTCAAATCGTTTGTGGATTTTAAGATGTGATTATTTAGAAAAGCCGTTACAATACCCAAAACTAAACTGGATTTCTCAAATCCCATCGAAATGGATGTCAAACCTCTCTTTAGATCTAATATCATTTAATCTTAAATGTCCATTCATTCCTTCAGAGAGAAAAACCTTTTCGATTCTAGCCTAGGTTAACATAAATAGATTTTTTCCTCCAAATCAATATTTGTATACCCTTATATTGTAAATACCCCCTCCCCTTTTCTTCATTCTTTCCTGGTCACACCTGGCCATCACAATTTCCCCAACAACACTAGCAATGGCAGTGGCAACATAAGCTTCTGTTTGTTTAGTCCTATTATATTTGCTGTAATCAATATAATCCGATTTAAGTGAAAGCTTTGTAATGTAAGCATTATATTTTGTTTTCTCACATTACCATTCACCACCCATTTGATGGGTGTAATGGGATGGGAGGCAGCAGCGAGACAGGCAGACAGACAGGATTTGTACCGACAGGCAGAACCGACAGCAGAAAAGCAAATCAATAGCATTAACACATCAAAATTGGCCAAAATGGCTTCGATGGTCGCATGTTAAGTGCTGAAGCCAAGTGGTATTTAGTTTTTTTTTTCTTTTGTTTTCTTCTTCTTCTTATTTCAAATGCCATACTTAAGGCCCCCACTTCTCATCCCCCCCTACATTTGCTTAGGGGAAGACTAGAGGCTTTGGGCATGTAGTTTTAAGAGCTTCTTGATACTGCTACTTAGAGGGCTATTAAATAGTCTTCTTTTTTATTCTGAATATAATGTTTCCCCCTTCTTATTTTCTCTTCTGTTTGTAAAAGTATATATATTTAACCATGTCTTAAGAAGCAACATAATTATTACTGTTGTTGTTTTTGTTTTTGCACTTACCTTCTCGCGAAGACGACTTGTCATATAGTTTGGGTGAACTACTCTTCTTGTTGGAGGCAACTGGTCTGAGGGCATTGTTAATTGGCTAAAACGCAAAAGGAACGGAAAGAAACAAAACAAAAAAACATTAGAGAATGTGTGTTAATTGTTTTTTGAAAAAAAAAAAAAAGAAAGTTCAAGACACCACTTAAAATGCCTTAAACACTCGAAAAGAAAACTTACAACTCTATCAGAACGTTCACCGCATGGCAAACGGGCCACCGCTGCATCGGGACTATCTTCCGGGGGTGGTGGCTGTGGTACCCAGTTATAGGCCCTCTTCGATATGGGCACACCAAAACGATCATGCTGGGAGGCTTGTTGCCTGGGGGAGGAGAAGAAGAAAATAATTTCATTTAAATTGTAATTTTTTCAACAACAGTTGTTTGGCTCACCTCAAACTCTCATAACAATCTAAACACACCACCGCATATTCACCATTCTCCAGCAAGAGGCCATCTTCACTTTTTCGATTTCTCACAAATGGAAATTCATTGACCGGTAAAGCTCGTACCCTCTTGCGATACGTTGTTATGTTACACAGGTGGCAAATGTAGTCATGCCAATTGTATTCTCGATCCACAGGATTTATGGAGGGGTTTTGGGATTCATATCTGCAAAAAAGGGGGAAAGAAGTGAATTAATTAAAAAATATAACAGGAATATAAATTTTATGAGAAGACCTGCTGCCCTTAAATGAAAAGACATTCTGAGGTCCTCTATGGAGAACCAACTGGTCTTCAATGAGACGACCTTCTACGCTTCAATGCGAAGACCGTAGATAACCTAAGAGGGGTTTCTTATAGAAGCTACTATTCTAAACGAAGATCTTCAAGTGTTCTATGAGGATACCTTTCGGTCTTCCCTAGAAGGACCTTCTGGCTTCCAACCAAAGGAAGAATTTCTCTTCTTTCGTGAGACGACCTTTTGAGGTCTTCTAAGAGAAGACCTTTAGAGGTCATCTAAGAGAAGACCTTTAGAGGTCATCTAAGAGAAGACCTTTAGAGGTCATCTAAGAGAAGACCTTTAGAGGTCTTCTAAGAGAAGACCTTTTGGTCTTCTATAAGAGAAGACCTTTTCGTCTTCTATAACAGAAGACCTTTTGGTCTTCTATAAGAGAAGACCTTTTGGTCTTCTATGAGAAGACTTTTTGAGGTCTTCTATGAGAAGACCTTTTGAGGTCTTCTATGAAAAGACTTTTCGGTCTTCTATGAGAAGACCTTTTGAGGTCATCTATGAGAAGATCTTTTGAGGTCATCTATGAGAAGACTTTTCGATTTTCTATGAATAGACCTTTTGATCTTCTATGAGAAGACCATTTGGTCTTCTATGAGAAGACCTTTTGAGGTCTTCTATGAGAAGACCTTTTGAGGTCTTCTATGAGAAGACATTTTGAGGTCTTCTATACGAAGCCCTTTTGAGGTCTTCTATACGAAGACCTTTTGAGGTCTTCTATACGAAGACCTTTTGAGGTCTTCTATACGAAGACCTTTTGAGGTCTGCTATACGAAGACCTTTTGAGGTCTTCTATACGAAGACCTTTTGAGGTCTGCTATACGAAGACCTTTTGAGGTCTTCTATACGAAGATCTTTTGAGGTCATCTATGAGAAGACTTTTCGATTTTCTATGAATAGACCTTTTGATCTTCTATGAGAAGACCATTTGGTCTTCTATGAGAAGACCTTTTGAGGTCTTCTATGAGAAGACCTTTTGAGGTCTTCTATGAGAAGACATTTTGAGGTCTTCTATGAGAAGACCTTTTGAGGTCTTCTCTGAAAAGACTTTTCGGTTTTCTATGAATAGACCTTTTGGTCTTCTATGAGAAGACCTTTTGGTCTTCCATGAATAGATCTTTTGGTCTTCTATGAGCAGGCCTTCTGGTTCTCTATGCGAAGACCTTTTGGTCTTCTATGAGAAGACCTTTTGGTCTTCATGAATAGATCTTTTGGTCTTCTATGAGCAGGCCTTCTGGTTCTCTATGCGAAGACCTTTTGGTCTTCTATGAGAAGACCTTTTGGTCTTCCATGAATAGATCTTTTGGTCTTCTATGAGCAGGCCTTCTGGTCCTCTATGCGAAGACCTTCTGGTCTGCTATACGAAGACCTTCCGGTCTTCTATACGAAGACCTTCTGGTGTCCTGACCTATTGTTCCGCTATGGGAAGACCTACGGGTCTCCTATACGAAGACTTTCTGGTCTCCTATACGAAGACCTTCTGGTCCTCTATACGAAGACCTTCTGGTCCTCTATACGAAGACCTTCTGGTCTTCTATATGGAAATCTTCTGGTCTTCTATACGGAAACCTTCTGGTCTTCTATACGGAAACCTTCTGGGCTTCTACACCTAGACCTTCTGGTCTCCTATACGAAAACCTTCTGGTGTTCTGACCTATTGTTCCTCTATGGGAAGACCTACTGGTCTCCTATACGAAGACTTTCTGGTCTCCTATACGTAGACCTTCTCTTATACGTAGACCTTCTGGTCTTCTATACGAAGACCTTCTGTTTTTCTATACAAAGACCTTCTGTTCTTCTATAAGAAGACCTTCTGGTCTTCTATACGAAGACTTTCTGGTCTTCTATACGAAGACCTTCTTGTCTTCTATATGAAAACCTTCTTGTCTTCTATACGGAAACCTTCTGGGCTTCTACACCAAGACCTTCTGGTCTCCTATACGAAGACTTTCTGGTGTCCTGTACGAATACCTTCTGGTGTCCTGTACGAATACATTCTGGTGTCCTGTACGAATACATTCTGATCTTCTATTCCAAGACTTTTTAGTGTCATATGAGAGACCTTATGGTCTTCTACAAGGAGACCTATCAGACTTCCACAGGGAAACCTTTCCGGCTATCGATTTTCTGGTCTCCTATGTGAAGACCTTCTCTTTCTCGTAGCTCATACTTACTTTCTCCATTGTTTCAACAACGAATGATAACAAAACGTGCACACATAGGCTGAATAATCTGGTCGCAATTGCTCGGCATTTGGTAGGGAATTGTGTTTCAATAAAAATGGGAAATATGGTCGGGAACCCTAGGTGGAAGAAGAAAATCATAAAATTAATATTCCAAAATTTCATAAAAATCTATCGCAACAACAACAAACCTCCTTGCTGGCATACAAAACCCTGGCCAAGGTCAAATCCGAATGGAGGCCACACAGAAAGCAATAAATGGAAGTTGTGGCCGCTGTCGATGATGACATTGAGGGTGTTGAGGGCGGGGTATTAATACTCAAGCCACCGTGACGCGAGCCATTCGGTGAGGTGGCATTTATGACCGGGGATGGAATGATGTATCTGCAGGAGAGAGAGAGAGAGGGAATTAGTGGAATTTAGAACAAATATAATTGTGATTGAGTTGGGCTTACCTTCGCCTTTCCAATGGCACCCGTTCGGCATCCATTGTCTCCCACTGGCGGGCCAAGTTGTTGACACAATCCTTACAGGCCAATACCCGATTTCCATTTGGGTCATTGTTCAAAGCAGACCCGCTGCTGGTGTTCAAATTACTATCACGTCCACTGCTGGAGTTGGAGTTTGAATTGCTCGCCGTTGTGCCTTTAAGACAGGGAAAATGCATTGCATGCGAATTCATGTGCTCAGCACTTGTTGATAGCCACTCCATTTTGTTTGAGGGGCAGAGGGTTTTGCAAATGTAGCAGCTGGAAAAAACAAGGTGTGATGAGTCAAAATAATTGCTGGATAAGAAATTCTTAGACTTACGGATATTGGCCATGGCCATTTTCCAGTTGCTGTTGCTGCTGTTGACCTGGAGATGCGGTCACCGAGGCTTGATATTGTTGTGATTGTTGTTGTTGCTGCTGCTGCTGTTGTTGTTGGGTATTTGGCGTTGTTGGCCGTGAATCATTGTTACGCAAATTCTTCAAATCCCTTGGCTGCTGACTGGATGAGTGATTCGAATTGCTCTCACATGTCTAAATAAGGAAGGCGAGGAAGCAACAAAAACAACACAGGAACGTGATTATTAAATAAACATTTTCAACTATTTTAAAATTTATTTATTAACAAATACAAATATCAAGAGTAGAACTCGTCTAAAGGCCTGTCATCCTCTTGCCATCGTTGTCGTTGTCGCCTCCACCGCCACCATCTTCCCAAAACCCACACCAACAGCTGTCAACCAGCTTATCAAATATTTACCCAGATTATTATCACAGTTAACTATCTTTGTTTTTAATATGACAAGTACTTGAGTAAACAATTCTCTTCTCTCACTTCACTCAAAACGAATGAAGACATGCATGCTTGTGTTTGCCTGATTGTTCAATATCCATAATTCATATTTGGAAATAAGCCCTTAATATGGGTGTTTGTGGAACACAAGTATGGGGGGCTTATGAGCCAACCGAAAAAAAAATGAAAACCAAACAAACTGAGGCGTTAAGCCCATTTAAGTGGGCAGTTTTAGAGATAAGAACAAAACAAAAAATGGGTAGGAGACCGCAAATGGGGAACGTCATGATTTTTGAGAAAGAAAAAAAAAATACGGATCTGATAAGAAATTAACATTTAAAAAGGTGGTGCTCAAATAGCACAGCACTTGGGCAAATATTTGACATTTATTTTTCCTTTTTTTTTTTTTTTTTGTTTAACGAAATGTCAAAAAATTATCAAGATTTTGAGAAATCGGAAATTCTGCCCAGGTGAAATCTTCGTCTTTTCAGCCCAGCTGAGAGAAGAGCTTTAAGAGGTCTTCCATGACACTTTTTGAGGTATTCAGTAGGAAAGCCTTCTGGACATCTTTTGAGGTCTCTTAAAAAAAGAGTCCTTCTGGACTCTTTTTTGGGAAGGCCTTCTCAAATTCCGTGTTCTATTAGCGACCCCTAAGAGATTTTTTGATCTTCTAAGAGAAGACCTTCTGAGGTCGAAAAAGATTTTCTGTTCTTCCATGAAAAGAAAACCTACTAAGGTCTTTTATAAGAAGTGTTTCTGAGGTCTTTTAGGGGAAGGCCTTCCGAAGAGTTCTTTAAGAAGATATTCTGAGATAGTATAAGAGAAGATCGTCTGGACTTCTATGAGAAGACCTTGTGTGGTATTCTTTGAGAAAACCTTCTGGCCTTCTCTGAGAAGACATTCTGGTCTTCTATGTAAAGAAGACCTTCTGGTCTTCTGTGAGAATAACATCTTCTGTTCTCCTATGAGAAGAAAACCTTCTGGTATTCTGTGAAAAGACGAGCTTCTGGTCTTCCGTAAGAAGAAGACCTTCCGATCTTTTTTTAAGAAGCCCTTCAGGTCTTCTGTGAGAAGTAAACCTTCTGGTTTTCTGAAAAAAAAATATGTTCTGAGGTCTTCTTTGAAAAGATCCCTTGAGGCCTTTTATGAGATGAATTGCATCCGAGGGCTTTTATAAGAAGAACTTCTGACGACTTCTTTTGGAAGACATTCTGATATCCTATAGAAGATCATCTGGTCTCCTATGAGATGGCCTTGTCAGGCTTTCTTTGAGAAAACCTTCTGGCCTTCTCTGAGAAGACCTTCTGGACTTCTATGAAAAGACAACCTTCTTGTATTCTATGAAAAGACGACCTTCTAGTCTTCTATGAAAAGACGACCTTCTGGTGTTCAGCGGAAGAAGACATTCCGGTCTTTTATGAAAAGAAGACCTTCTAGTCTTTTATAAAAAAAGACCTTCTGGTCTTCTATGAGAAGACCTTCTGGCCTTCTATGAGAAGAAGGCCTTCTGGTCTTTTGTGAGATGAAGACCTTCTGGTCTTCTATGAGAAGAAGACCTTCTGGTATTCTGTGACCGTGAGAAGAAGAACTTCTGGTCTTGTGTGAAAATATGACCTTCTATGAAAAGAAGACCTTCTGGTATTCTGTGACCTCCTGGTCATTTATAAAAATACGACCTCCTGGCCTTCTGTGAGAAAAAGACCTTCTGTTCTTTTATGAGAAGAAGACCTTCTGCGCTTCTGTGAAAAGAAGACCTCCTGGTCATCTATTAAAAGACGACTTTCTGGCCTTCCGTGAGAAGAAGATCTCCTGGTCTTCTAAGAAAAGAAACTTCCGGTCTTCTGTGAAAAGACCTTCTGAAGTCTTCTTTGAAAATATGCCTTGAAGCCTTCTATGAGAAGAATACCATCTGTTTTGCTATGAGAAGTCGACCTTCTGCTCTACCCCACTGTATAGTAGCTGGCCTTAGAGGGCGTTGTAGTAGAGCGCCTGATCTCAGTGACCGCTGCTGAGATATAGCTAGCCTTTGAGGTCACTGCTAAGAAGTAGCTTGTCTTAGAACCCGCTGCTGTTGACCTCAGAGGTCGTTAGTGTAGAGCAGCTGACCTAAGAGGACGCTACTGTAGTGTAGCTAGTCACAGTGGTCGCTCCGGTAGAGCAACCGGCCTCAGAGGTCGCTACTGTACAGTAGCTGGGCTTAGAGGACCCTGCTGTAGAGTAGTTAGCCTCAAAAGCTGCTGTGTAGAGTAACATGCCTCAGAGACTCCCGCTAACTGGCCTTAGAGGTCGCTCTTGTAGAGTAGCTGGTCTCTGATGTAACTACTGTAGTGTAGCTGGCCTCAGAAGTGGCTCTGGTAGAGTAGTTAGCCTCAGAGGACCCCGCTATAGACCTCAGAGTTTGTTAGTGTAGAGCAGCTGACCTAAGAGGTCGCTACTGTAGTATAACTGGCCACAGAGGTCGCTTTTGTAGAGCAACTGGCCTCAGAGCTCTCCTCTGTAGAGTAGCTGGGTTCAGAGGACCATACTGTGGAGTAGTTAGCCTCTGAAGCCGCCTATGTAGAGTAACTGGCCTCAGAGTCCCCCGTTAGCTGGCCTCAGATGTCGCTCTTGTAGAGTAGCTGGACTCAGAGGCCCCAGCTGTAGACCTCAGAGGTCGTTTGTGTAGAGCAGGTGACCTAAGAGGGCGCTACTGTGGTATAGCTGACCACAGAGCAACTGGTCTCAGAGCTCCCCGCTGTAGAGTAACTGGGCTCAGATAACACTACTGTAGAATAGTTAGCCTCAGCAGCCTCCTGTGTAGAGTAACTGGCCTCAGAGGTAGCTACTGTAGAGTATATGGTCTCAGAGCTCCCCGCTGTAGAGTAACTGGGCTCAAAGGTCGCTCTTGTAGAGTAACTGGCCTCAGAGAACTTTGCTGCAAAATAGCTTACGTAAGAGGCCTCTGCTGTACAGGCCCCCGCTCTGCTGTACAGTCCCCCGCTGTAGACTAGCTGGCCTCAGAGGTCGCTCTTGTAGAGTAACTGGCCTCAGAGAACTTTGCTGCAAAATAGCTTACGTAAGAGGCCTCTGCTGTACAGGAGGAAGCCACAGTGGCCGCTGATTTAGAGTAATTGCCTACCGAGACCCCTACTGAGAAGTAGCTACCCTGTAGGAAATCTTCAATTCAACCCTCTGAATGGAGGTTTCTGTAGAAAACCTCCTCTCCACTAGCAAATCTCCCATTATTTGGCCTTGCCATTCTTCACACCTGTCCTCTATCTTTTTATCCCTCATCTAGGCTGTTTCAAACCAGCTAAGCCATACCTTATCGCTTCCATAATATGGTAAATAAAACCCACATTATTTTATTTTTATTGTGGCATTACTCAAAATCCCTCAAGCTACGCACAAATGATGAGGGACGGGAAAGAGAGAGAGAGGGAGAGAAAAGGGGAGACGCGAGAATAATAAAAAAATGATTGTGCTATAAATAATGATCTAATTAAACATTTGTCTGGAATTGTTAAACAAATGAATACAAAGTGAACAGCAGAACAAAAAAAACTAAAACAATACCAGATATCATGGTGGTATTACCCCCTAGGCTCCCCCCTCTCACTTTCTTCCACCCAGCCACTGAGGCTTCGCGTTTTGCCTGACTGGAGAGAGAGGGGGAGAGAGAGCAAGTTCTTATCAGTGACACAATATGGAGTACAATGTCAACACACAATAAGAATTCAAGTGAAATACAACACGTCAACAACAACAAAAACGGTGACAAAAAATAACAACAACACAAAATATTTTACCAAAAACAGAAATGCCAGAATTTACTTGAAATGAGCAGTTGGTTTATGGACTTCATCATCATCATCATCGTTCTTATTATTATTATTTTAAGTACCCGTAATAAACATAATGTATGAATATTGGCTCAAGATAAGATAGCACTTGACGACGACTGGAGCGATAACCGAACCATATGTTGGAATATATTACTAACGATAATAGGCGAGTTTTTTTTCGAAAAACCGAATTTAGGGTCTTTTTTATAGAGGAAGGCTGAATGGACGATTTCTCAGGAAAACCCTAATGCATCCGGTGAAAAAGAGAGGTTTCCCAACGAAACCTCTCTGAAGTAAATAGTTACAGGTTGAGATGAAAAAACTGCAACCAACTTCAGACTGCTGTCATTTCTAAGCCACTCGTCCGACAGCTGTTAAAATTATTCCAGTGACAGCTCATAATATTGTTTACAAGAGTACAGAAGCATTTTGCTGATAATTCTCCAGAAAAAAACAAGTTAAAAAGCAGTAAGTTCGGCCGGGCCGAACTTTGAATACCCTCCACCATTTGGAACGAATTTGGACAATTTCAAAAAATAAAGTCCTTAAAAAATTCTGTTAAAATTTTTAAAATACCGAATATAGCCGTTATATTGGGGTCTATACGACATGGACCTACATAGGCCTTGTTTGTCATAAGTCATTACCATATTCAAAGTCGAAACTTGAAATAAACGGTGAATAATGTAGCTACGGTATATAGGGAGGTACCGTTATAACGGAGCTGTGCGAAAACCTGGACCAGCATAGACAATTTTCTGTCACAGGCTATAGGATACATTACGAACGTCAAATACGACCTCTCCAAAAATTTTCGTGGGTATTGTACCTACCGAATATAGGGAGGTACTGATAGATGGGACCTATATGAAGACCTGTACCTACATAGACAATTTTCTGTCACTAACTGTAGTTTC